ACCATTTCGACTAATTACACAAAATCAGTTCAAGATAATGTATTCCTAATAGTATATGTGCTTTAAATTCACAGAGATACTCTCGAAACGAAATCGAACACCAAAGTGCAAAATAACCTAATTGCATATTATTCATCATATGCAGCAGGAAGGACTGAACATATCTGGACGGCGCTATCAATAGGAGATACTGCCTTGAGATGATACGGAGATCCCCGAGGCTATTGGATCTCATGTTTTCAGCTACTGTATTTCAAAATATCATACAAGTGCCATTGATTTGGAAAGCCAAGTCAACCGTAGATCGCCGTATATGTTATTTGTGATTGTTTGCCATTGAGATGTCGCTTGGTATTTTTCACTGAACACGTATATACATGCAGTAAAGATTAGCAGAATGACGTTAACGTCTGGTACTTTTGACTTTGGTTCCAAAGTAGCAGCTAGTTAGATTACAAAAAATGTAAAGAAGTGATGTGAAAAAGTGAGCTGTAAAAGCAGATCGACTTGCCTACTCATTTTATCCTTTTATGAGAAAATAAACCTACAAACATAACATGAAATAATTACTGCATCTAGTCCTCTAGATAGTAGTAGCACCGAAAGAGCTAATGGACTAAGCATATATCAACGCACTTGACGTCTCGGATCAGTGCGAGGTTACAGAGGCAGGGGAAAGTGATGTGTGAGTTGTTTCATCGTACGGACAATAAAACTTTCACCATTTAAGTCTTCATTCTCTACAAACTCGATCACTACCACGGAATAATAGAAAGATAGTAGGCCTGGAAATGAGATTCTACCGATGGCTACCCTATTCCGGTAAGGATGAGATGGCCTACTGGAATTATTCACCTCAACATTGAATGACTCAATAGAGCAGCTGTGCTTAAACGTATGGGTGGGCGTAGTACAACATGCCTTATCATTTCAAACAATGGGCACAATCAAGGGTCTAAGTAGACACCCATGCAGAAAGGATGCGATGCACATTTCTTGAGGGTTTTAAATATAAAGCAATGGTTTTTTGTCAAATAATGCACTCACCATTCCTAAGTAGCATTAACAATTTACGATCACGTCCGCAGTCGTAACGGATCGATCAATCTATCTGATAAAAGACCCGGGTTTGTCTGAGTAGAAGACAGCCATAAGCCCAAGTAGTCCAAATACTCAAATGTGTGAATCGAAATAGGTAAAAAAAGAACCTACCTAGACGCTTCACAGCAGTGGACGCAGTAAGCGCGGAGATAGAAGTCGTTGCTTCGTTGTCTGGGGCGATTGAGGTAGGAGCGGCAGTGCCGGTCAAGTCCGATAAACTGCCCTCTGCCTTGGATGGCAGAGACGGAGCTGAGGACGGCGGAAGCAATGGAGCAGAGGGTGAAGGCGCGTCTGTCATGACAGGGGCTCTATTGGACGTCTCAACCTCCTCAGGAAAGACAAAAACGGAGTCGTCAGGCGCTGAGACGAGACGTACTTCCCGGTTGGCGTCGAAACAGAAACTGGTATTAATGCACTCGTCTGAGATCGCTGCTGCACGTTCTGCCGACAACCAGCGCTCCAAATGAGCACGTACCTCGGCCACATTTTTCAGTCGTGAACCACCGGGTCTGTAAAGTTGTAGGAAAATTGCATGTAGCCTCATCGTTCAGTCTCCCACGGTTCGGCTTGGACGCTAAAAGCATGGAGCTCTGTTCGAGCCACTTACAATACTAGTCCTCCAATCCCTTTTATAACAAAGGCACTTCCAAAATCACATACTTCATAAGGTCTTCAAATATCTCGAGATTTAAATGGTATCAGAAAACGAGTTTTAAAATGAAAATTTCATTCGGTACAATTATAAAATAGTATAAAAAGGTATAAGTAAAGTAACTGTTCATGCTACTTACTTTGGGATAGCAAAAATGGTTGGCAAATTCAGAAGTTTGGAATTTAAACGATGACATGGATAGTAACAAGAAATTACACCAGAAACACTAGTTCCCAGTGCACTGTGTGATGCGATACTTTAAGAGGTAGGCGCCTAATGGGGTTGAGGTGAGAGGTAAACAGAAGCAATAACCTGCAATGATGTTACGGTACCAGGACACGAAGTAGGCGGGCAGGCTTGCCTGAAACTCACCTGGCAAGGGTCACACCGCCAATTCGAATGATTAAACGGAGGAATGCAGGATCAGTTTCGCAAATCTAGCAATGTAGTAACTAGAGAGGAAATTCACCCAATCTTAACGACTGTGAAACCACCTGGCTAGAAAGTGATCGATTTTCCGCTATATTAAATAGTGGGTACCGGCTTGAGGGGATTTTTGAACTGCTGAGATACGGATAAACGTATGTATAAACACAAAAACAAATAAGTACATATAGTATATATACATACTTATAGGAGCCAAAGGTCCAAAATTGCACAGAAGGTTGCAAATGTACCAAAGAATGTAGCTATAGGCGATCCGGCGGACTTTAACTGACGTGATTTATGGGGCAGATTAACATGGGCCAAACAAGAAAGGAAAAGTACAAAAGGGATGGCAAAATGAAAGCGACTAACGAAATATAGACGACTATGTCGGATTGGCGGTCCACAATGCGTGTCCAAGCGCTGTTCCAAGGTAGCGGAGGCTTGGCACCTTCCGATTTGGCTACCGCCAATGAGGTCTTGGGTCCACTTGACGTTGAGTTGGCGCAACTAACCCCAGGTGCACGTTTCTGTGCAGTGCGATTTTTGGCCGTTGCCACAACATATCCACTAGTGTTGGTCAGAGGCCCAGCCGCTGAGGCAGCGGCGGAAAGAAAGACTTCTGCAGCATTTGATAGCGGCTGCTGATAGGCGATGGCAGCAGCACGAGCAGCTGCTGCGTACGACGCCACGATCTGGTCCGGCGGACTTTTATTCGCCTCTTTTGATGGCACCTAAGCGAAGAAAAACAGAGAAGGGTAGATAATAACGAGCAGTAGACCCATGATCTTTTCACCGATGGTCAAAAAAGGGAGAGAATAAAAGAATAGAAAGTTCGGCCTCTCAACAACGCAGAGAGCAAACAGGTAGCATAGCGAGCACAGGATCGCAGGATAGAGCGAAGCGACATGCAAACGAGAAATTTCACACACACACACATGGGTTATTCGCTTGAGTGGCAGAAAATGTGTTACAAACACAGTGATGCTGCTGCGGCTGGGCGACAAACTACCTGTGTGTATGTTATTTGCAAGAGGAATGCGGTGTTGGTAGCGAGAGGCAGTCTCCGGCTGCAAAAAACAACACCTGAAGTATTTAGAAAAGAGGAAACAAACACGCACGCATAGAATGCGCGAGACAGGGGAGAGGGGGCTGGAGGGATAATGGTGGGTGCGAGACGGTCGGGTCAAGTTGGAGCTTACTTGGGACAGTGCCTGCTCCAGGTATCAAGAAGAGAGTCGACAGACTGTGGCCTGAAGACAAGAAGTGTCAGTGGAAAAAAACGAGACCCAAAATAAGTTGACGTTAACTAAGTAGCATGCATAGCGTTAATGCGTGAACTAATAAATAATAGGAGGATGCAAGCGGTGAGTCCGGAGCATGCCGCATGTAAATAGCGAAATCAACAACTGGGTGGAGCAAAATCTGTAACCAAAAGTGTGGGATCGACATTTAAAGTAAAATAAAAGACACTCCAACGCAATTTTAGATGATACTATGCTGACTCGAAAAGTGAAACACGTTTATTGCCTTAAGGTAACAAACGTACCCCCTGCTGACTGCATTTGCACGATCTACTTCTAATTCACTTAAGTTTAAAAGAGTAAAATCCATTCAGATGTTCTAAAAGCGTGGAATCAGCAACATTGTTGGATTATGGGGTAAAATATGGCGCGGGAATGGAGGTGCGGCGAAGCATGCAATTAGTGCAAGTGAACAGTAAATAAACGCAAAATCACCAACTCAAGATACAAACATAGACTGTGGAACTAACGGTATCGAGAAAGGAGTGGAGAAATGGTAAAAAGCCTCATACCTGAGAAGTAGTACTGCCGTTGCTGTTTCCATAGAGGACAGGAGCGCGAACTATAGTGTGAGTATCGGAAGGTTCTGAAGAGGTAGTCGTGAGGTCACAAGTTGGTTGTTGCAGAAGGCCAGGGTTCAAAAGAGGAAGCATCTGAGAAAGATTGAGTTGGGCAATGAGGGGATTCACGGCATTAGGGATGGGAAGGCCGCCAAGAAATTGGGCCGTTTGGGGCAGAAAATAGGGTGAAGCGGCATGAAGAGAGGACGATGTAGAAAGGTTGGGCTGAGCAGGTAAAAGAAGCGAGGATATATCTTGTCCGGAAACAATGGATGTTGAATCAAGTGGAAGCCCAAGACTTAAACCAAGCAGTGAGTTCACATTAGGAACAGATGGAAGCTGTCCATAGGGGAAATAGCGAGGAAACATGCCCAGTTAAGGAAGGGTTGGATCCCAATGATCGTAGCTACAAAAAATAAACCGAAAAAATTAATTCAGCCGCCTTAGGTGGCATCGAATATAAACTGGGAGTTCTAATATTCCAAACGAACATTTTATAAGCAATGGGATGAGTATAGGCACAGTAGGTAGGGGTTAAGCCATAAAATTAGCACGGACCCATGTATTTCCTTGATAGATTATGTAAATTATAATGAGACCCAAATGGAACAATCAATAGTAATAGCTCATGTTCCTACTAAGAGCACAAATAGACATCTTTGAGAAGTGCCAAGTGGATTGGCTGTGACGAAGCTAAAACTTTAAGCTATGCAAGAATGGCAAATAATGCTAGCTACCTGAGATATCGAAAAGGCAAGGTTACGAAAGTAACGAACACTGTGCAAAGCATCTACAGACCAAGTCAAATCCCACCGTCTTCGATATTGTTTAAAACGATTATAATTGTATCGGTGCCCTTAATGAATATGGGCAAAGAATGGCTTTTAAGTCAAATAATTTGTGGCAAAAATTCCTCATTATTCAATAAAAATCTCATTTATAGCAGATACAAGTACTAGAACTTTCCAAAATCTAATATAGTTTTAAAAGCAAAATGCACCAAGTAGTCTAAAATGATATTTCAAAACAGATCTCAGAATTTAACCAAGTTTGTTATTTAGCTCTTAAAATCCAAAGTGGGGCTTATACATTGCATAACAACGATGGAAATGCGATGCTAGAGGAATATCCCTAGTACTAGCTGCGCGGACGTTTCACAAACTTTATTCCCGGAATTGAAGCTTTGATAAAGGCGATTTGATTTATCTTGGCCCCATAGATATATTGTTATTTTAAAGTGGTGTACTCTTCACCCATATCGCTCCCTGCGACTTCCCTGAAGAGAGAAGAAACAACAGCCGGGCAGAATATATATATTCAACATACAGTATTGTAATACGATAGTGGTTTATCCCTCGGTTCTGGTGAGGCGCCACTTTTGTACTTCGAATTAGCCCCCTTGTACCTCGCTGGGTGGGCTGGCCTTTTGGGCCATGCCAATAGCCCGGACACCTTCTCCGTGCTGAATATACATATTCTGCCCGACTATTGTGTCTTCTTTCGTCTTAAGGGAGTCTCGGGACGCTACAGTATGGCTTGGAGGTACTGAAATGGCGCAGAGGCAAATCTGCCTGGCGGAGCTGCAATGGTGGAGCACCTAAGTGGTCATTTAGACAAAACCAAGAGTTAAGCAATCAACCAACGTATTCTTAGGTGTTCCGAGTCCGCACTAGTTAAATACTAAAGTTTGACTAAATAGGAAACCTAGAATCCCTTCTGTTGAAAATGGTTAAATATTACTCAGGTTGTTTTTCAAGGAGTAAATTGACGCATTTCTTGCGACTTAAGGGGAGTAAATAGCTCATTGCATTTTACAATTGAGATATTCCTTATTTACGCCCCTTCCCAAATCCTTCGCCTCTTCTAGCAACAAACTTATATCACTGTTCTCTATTGTATTTAGCCGAATTTTGAAATGTGGTCCATCTATGCCTCCGTCAGATCATCATTATAATAAAGGAGGATTTCTGGAATGAAGTCATCGACGTTTAAGAGAAGTTCCTCCAACAATTCCTCTTCATCTGGTATTCCGTTTTCAGTCAATGTCTTATTCATATCAAGTACTTCTTGACCGTATTTCCATGTGTACGACGCGGCATGGGCATTGCATGGTAGGTAACGTGCCAATATGTCAAGCATCGTTTCTTCTGAGCAAACCTGATTGATAAAAGTTCCATGAGTGTAAATTATCCAGAAGTCGCTAAGTTAGCTGGATTATAGAACATAAAATTCTTCATAGTGAGGGCCCGGTAACTCAAAGAACGGCATAACACGTAACCCCAAAGTTAATGGGACTCTAAACAAGTAATGCATCAATCGAATAAGGTAAGTACATTATGAAGATTTATGAACCCATTTTAGTAAAAAGTTGTGTAGGTCTTCATATTACTTGAACAAACAGGAACTTACCTCAAATGTAGAATTATTTCCGGTTAGCGTATTTAGGACTCGAATAGTTCTTGCCTTCTTAGTTAAGCGGCCAGTCAGATAGGATTTATCTTGCCACCAAGGAATAACAAAATCATTTCGCCAGTCTGATGTAGGAAACGGTGGTGGCACATGAAGGAATCGCCCATACGGTGTATATGGTACGCGTACAAAAGTTATTGGATCAATATGCGTTCGAAGATTACCGGTTTTCGGGTCGAACCAATGTGAAATATCGGTGCCACCGACAGCTAGTATTGGCTTTAGCAAAACATCACCTATGAATAAGGGTACTTCTTAATTTACTCTAATAAATAATCCAATACATAGCAGTCAAGTTAGAGCAGAATTCTGAAGTCAATTGCACTTTACAGTCATGAAAGGCAATCCTACCTTCTCTTTTGTTTGGACTCAATTATTAGCATGGTAACAAAATCAAGCAAGTTTCATTAAAGTACTACATTTATTCAGAGATAAAGGCAAATATTAGTTTTGTAAGTGAAATCAATGAGTTCTGCGTATGCCTTGTGATTTAGCGGAAAATGCCAACCATTTTAACTTTGTCTGAAATATTATTTTTTTATATCCTTTTGCCAGTTACAAACGTACCCTTGTGAAGATTACATAATGAGGTTAAATCGTATACGTTCCCTAAATAGGACACCCATAAATCAGTCTCAGTGTTATGCAAGGAAACCTCAACCGGTGTGTAGTACTTTACCATTCCCGCTCATACCCGTAACTCATTCGTTGTCAAGTTAATGGCTGATAAAAAGGTAATCAAGGTTCATAAGAAGCATTACATACAATGAGCTTTTCTTATCATTTTTGACTGTACAAAGATTACAGTGAGCAATAATCTCATTGGATGATTCTCTCTCACGTCGTGAAATGTGCAGCATCTCGGCTGTTTTGCCCTTCTGCTTCCATCTTCATATCCTTGAATCTAGAAGAAAAATCTGAGAAGGACATAATGCATTGTATAGTTTGCAATTTTATAAACAGTCAATTTTGTGGTGTCATAATTTCTTTACGTCTCGGAGATTGATGACGTCTCCTTAGTAGTAGAGTTGGTTTGATTTACCCCTTTGCCACATAGAAAGTAAAATTAAAAGAACATATATGATTATCATTACGCTGTTTTGAATTTACATTAAAGATGTGATAAAATAAATTAACATGGATGAACACATTGTTCCAACGTGCTGAGTTTGTGGCGGTATGACCTCAGTGCTTTAAAAGGGATATCAAATATAACTAGCTTTATCTCTTTCAAGTACCGGCAAGTGATGCAGCTTACGCACCAGGAAGGCTGTACATGTGCAAAGCTACCAACGTAGAGGTAAGATTTAAGTATTTGTAATAGACGATCAATCAAATAATATGTGCAAGAAGTTACGCTAAACGGATCATTGCCAGTATTGGTCGAGGGCTGACATCCCGATCTTCCTACCTGAGTCCGCAAAATCAAACATTGGCGCTGTGGTGGCGTATTCGCCTTCAAGACTCTGGTAGCGAAGGCTTCAAACGAAAAGGTTTAAAAATGGCTTACCTACTTTAAGTTACGTCGGCTTCCTATAGAAATGAATTGTATTTGTTTTATTTTCACTGAAAAGAGTATGATTATGATATGTATGTATGATTAAGATAAATACCCTTTCCATTGGAGAGACATTGCCGATCTCAACCATGGCTAGTAGCATTGAAAAATGGGAATTAGTGATAACAACAATAAGTTCTACCAGAGAAGGCCGCGGGTTTTGCATTTATGGATCCTGCACACGCACACGATAGACAGGCATGCAAATCGGTGTAAATAACCCCCGAAAGTAAGGTCTTGCTTATCATTAAGTTGTAGGTGCAGATGGACGAGCCTGAGATATCCATCGTTGACTTAGTGTGAAACGCATCAAGCCTGTGGTCGTCCTTGCTTTGCTGAAAGGGAAATTTTAACAATTTCCTGCCACACCAGGCTTATCAAAAGTGTGTAAATCATAACGAAGGCAATGTATTCAATCTGGTAGCCTGCGACAAATTTGTCTTGATGACGGAATTCCATGCTCAGTGGATTTTACGATCCAATAAATTCATCAATGAAAGCAAGCTATTTCTAAACCCCCTTGTGGTCCACACAATCTGGGTAAACCGTGTTAAGATTTAATATTTGTTTTTGAGTTCACATTCAACTTCTTGGATTCTGACGGTTAGACTTCTATCATAGCAGCAGGGGCTTCCAGCTATGCCTATTGCCCTAGGTAAAATGATAAATGGACGCTGAAAATGTCACAATCATTGGATTAATAACTGTGCATTTGGTATTCTGTGGAAAGTAAATAGAAGCTTACCTATGTTAATGCTACACTGGGATTGGCTATGCTTAACTATCAAATTAGGAGATAAAAATGGAAGTTGATACAATGCAATAGATGCAAATAAACTAAAGCAGTTCTGTCATCTGATGCACTGAATCTGTGTCCACTCGAAAAAAAAGAGTAGAGCTAAAATTGCTTTTTGATGCGGAACACATTGTTATAACTCGGTGCCACAACGTTGTCCAGGTTAAAAGCATAACGCCGTTTCGATAACTGGGTTGTCAAACTTTCAAAAGTGTTGATTTCATAAATGATTACTCATCATTCCAGCAGAAATACTTACCACTTTTTTCACTTTAACGGTAGGTTATACATCAAGAGAAGGCTTGCCGTGGCAATGGTCGGATAACGTGGCTGACAATAGTAGGACAGCCCCCGACACCTTTACACCATTCACATGTCTTACCACTGGGCTCCCAAACGTCCCGTAAATGTGGTCTGCTTGAAATATACTGCAGATGTCCACTGGTTTGGACTTTGCTCTTCCGTTTAGCATCACAGATTTTCGCCTGCCACCTTGATTAAAAATGATGTCAGGTCCATACGCGCTACTAATACAGAAATAGGACATCTGCCGCGTCGTCACAGTAGCGCCCTTTTTATGTCTGTCAAGTTAAAATTCCTAGTTCGACCTGCTACAGGGTCATTGGTGTCTTCTAGATGTAAAGCAGCTATCATCAGTATAGGTGTCAAGTACGAGTAAAAGCGGGCCATGAAATTGCTTATTTATTGAAATGATTACTGAAGGCACCATTTCCCCCCCCCCCTTCCGGAACGCACAACCACACGCATAACAAGACATCCTCTGACACCAATAGGGGAGGGAAAAGAGGGAAGCGGTTCAGGGCAACTTTGGATCAAAGGACTCCTCTACAAGGAGGAGTTTAATCCCTTCCAGCACATTAGCCGCCTCGAAGGTCGGCAGAATGAGGTCAACTGCGCCCATGAAGTCACGATGACAGTGCAACGGCTTTGAACGTATCGCCTGACGATCACCGGGCTTGTAAACGCCTGTCTGCACGAGAATCGCTACAAAAATACACGCCTTTCAATTATTTTTTTAAAATTTTGAGTCTAATGTCCCCTATCTTAAAAAAATTTTGGGCTTAATGTCATTAGTTATAGTGGATTTGAAACCTTCTGGTACCAAATACATTGCAAAGTGGACGGACAAATATGTGAGCCAGCAGTAACACATTAATTTCAGGCAATCGTTGAACCTCTAAAGAAAGAAATGCAGATATTGGACTACGATACAGGGTTTAAATAGGTTTGGGTAAACCAAAAAGGCTTTAAAAACAAATCTCGAGTGCCAATTGTGTGAAGCTATCTTTAGTGATTTATCAAACGGCTTTGCTATTAGGCACTTGTTGAGGAACGTTTATAAGCCGTAAGTGGAGAGCTGTCTAAATTTGTTGGATCCATCAAAGTTATGGGGATTGTATGGCCTTTCGCCCTGAAAAATTAACGTATAATCATTGTCCCCAACCCATAGATGGTCCTTAGATCACCAGCTACGTGAGATAGGCTTCAGATTCGCCTCATCAAAGCAACTACAAATGAGAAGACGGAGGGACTTGTGGTGAGAGTGGGAGGAGAGGATTTACCTTCAACACCGCGACAGGTTTGCGGTAGGAAGGTGGCGTCGGCCGGAACAGTGCGAGAGGAGGCAACGGCAGCTTTCATGTGCAACTGACTCTGCTCGGGCGCCGAAACATCCCGTCCACCAGACAGACGGCGGTAGCGGCGCAGGTACATATTGTACAGGTTGGCACCCAGTATGTCCACCTCCGGATTGTCTCTAAAATCGAAGTTGGTAAATACCTCAAAACACTGAACTATCTGGAAATCATCGCTACTCGTAACCGTTCTTTTTATTTATTTGCCTTTTCAACAGACACGTAAGTGAAGCTCACTCTTTGTAGTAATATCACTAATTCCCAAATTTCATTTTTTGCTAATCGTAAATGAGTAACCTAGTGGTAAAAATTTAGCGAAATTTTAAATATATCAAATCATACAAAGTAGTTTGAAGAATGGTTTATCACATCAGGAAAGGTGAAACGAGAAAATCTTAATTGAAATTGCAAACTTCACTCGGTAGTCTGAAAACATCACGTCATATCATTCATTAAATGAGCTTGCAATTTTATCAGAGTCCAAGTTCACGCTCAAAAAAGTGTTTTTAGTTGCTTAGATTCTCTTACCACCACAGCTGTTTCGCATAACAAGCGCATAAATCCTAACCTTGAAAAGACTGATGCAGAGAATAGAAAATGACGGTTAAACACTAACACTGAATGCAATTAACAGTAACCTAGCTGAGGATAAACTCATAATGTGGTGGATTTTCTTCCATTGACAAGCAACCTTATTCAAAAGTGCGGGCACTTGTACAATGGACGGATAATGTGCTGGCACAATTATTGACCAGTCAGTGGCTAGCCACGATGATTTGGGAAATGGGTGCGTTGATGCATGACGAAGGCAAATCAGTGATGCGCTGTCCACTTACCCAAAGAAGTAGATTTTCCTAAGGGGCCGCGAGATGCCCATGCGCTTGGCAACTTTGCTCAGTATGTGCTCCGAGAATCGGTAGGTGATTTCACTCGGTTTGCCAACCAGGGCCGTGTACTTCAGGGGATAGCCGGATACTCGCTAAATTAGTGAAATGGTTCATTTCGGTGCCATTAAGCTAGGTACAGAATTGAGCGCCAGCGAAGTACAGCTGAATAGTCCATTTGATTGTTCAAAAAAATAAAAGTGCAAATCTTTCGGTTGATCGTATGTCTAACTCGAGGATACCACTTGGTCAGCATTTGTCGACCTGATGATGAGTCAAATCACCTTCATTGAGTATTATTCGCAATAAAGCGCAATTTGGCAACTTACTTCGTACAGTGACTCCAAACAGACGAGAAAGGCGCCGTGTCCAAATCTTAAAGTCGAAACTTTGGTAGTAAGGAATTTGCTTTACACAAAAAGGATATTCTTGCCTATTAACCAATTTTGCTATTTTCTTATGTCATTCTCTACAACAGATTAATGAAACAATGTGCGAAATTTCATTTAATGTTGGATGAACTTCAGCTTTTCGACTTAGAGCCGACTTCACCTAAACAGAGAATGGCCGATTGATTCACGAGTATTACAAGGTAGTTAATTTTTGAGTAGAAATCTGCTCTTGACAATGTGAGGATTAAAAGTTACAGGTAAAGTAAGAGCGGCTTAAGTACCTGGGCATGCAGGCCTGACCCATGTACAGGAGATCCATGTTGCAAGCCAAGACAGGCAGATGGTTCTTTGGACTGGCTTCAGGTTTGTGATCCGGCTTTCCATTCGTCATTAGTAGGTCAACGAGCAATTGCAAGTACATCTCCCATTGAACCGGTTCGCCCATTAATACAATAGCTAATGGAGATGAAAACAAATGCACTTGTTATGTAAAAGTATAGGTATATAGTACCGCTTGCGAGTTTGATTTAATAGAAATTGTCCCCTGAAATCCGATACGTTTTCGTAAAATGTATGACTTCATCAAACTTGCCTTCAATCCGTGGAAAATCTTTATTTTCCTTATATCCTTTTGCCTAGAAATAGAATGACATGTTAGAGATATTAACCATTTTAACTAACTGAACAACATTAGAATGGGATCGGTGAGCCATACCACAATCTTACGGTTCTCGTGGTTCACCATATCGAGGAGAGGCCAGGCCTCGGCAACCTGTTCCATAGTGTAGACGTGCTTGAAGCCGAGATCCTCCGCGATCTTCTTCATGTCCCCCTGGCCCACCACCAGCACCCGCATGTCGTGCCAGTGGGTGAAACTCTGGAAGGGGCTCGGGGCGAATATCACTTGCTCTGGCTTCAGCTACACATATGAAAAACCATTGGAGTTTAATGCCTTTGTGCTTTATTTTTGAATTGGGAGTGCAATAATGGAAGCATAAGGAGCCATCTTACTTCCATCAAAATCACTAGCTAGTTTTAGTAATGTCCTGATGTCGTCCAAAGTGGCCCTGGGTTGTAGTGAGATACTGACAGTTAAGTTTTAATGTCTGAGATACCTCATTGTACCAACTTAATGAAATCAACACTTACCAATGGCAAATTGGAGCTCAATTCAACCATATAATTAATTTAAAGAAGTTAAAATATATCCACCTACTCCCCAGTATAGAGTAAATCCAAAATGATAGCATGATTGAACCATAAGCATAAAATAATCCCTCTACACGCGATGTTTTTTCATGCTAAAGCAGATGCAGTTGCACTTTAATGAAAAAGGACTACACGGTTTTGGGGAAAAAGAAGGCTATTCTTCCCCTTCAACTGATTCATCCAAGAGACGAAAACATGTTAAAAGAGCACAACACAAGCGAAAAGAAAAACAGTCACAGATCTTACTTCAATGTTGAAAATGGAGGAGAGTTGATCCACTTTCGCTTGAGCGTTTCCACAGGCGTTCGTCACGAAAGCGATCGGCACTCGAAGTTTACCGTTGCGTCCCTTCAGTAGGTCCATGGCTAAAAGAGCCTCCGGTATTGGAGTAGCACCACGTAACAGAACTCCGTCGATGTCAAAGAGCAGTCCAAAATTGGGCTTTACACAAAAGACGAAACTTACGTGCTAAGTTCTTATTAAATCGTATGTGAAAGATGTAGAAGTTATTTTGGCAGAAAGACCTGCGTGGTTGTAAACCCTAGTGACTCCGAGATAAATTTCTAGTCGGGTCCTATCACTTTTCAGACTTTGAGGATTAAGCTAATACATTGCTTGAAATTCCTACTTCTGAATACGTAATAGATGATTCCTAGTCAACACTAAGAATTGTTTGCATAAAAAGTCCCATAAATAATGTAGGCTCAATGCGACGTGATGAAACCAAACAATGGTCCAAGCACCCTTACCAGTGCTGTCTCAGCCTAGACCGGTAGATGAACAAAATGAATGAACCACATGATTAGGAGCGGGATCAAGGAAGGCATAGCATAGCATACCTCTTTCTGCTTCAAGCCTACGGGGCAGAAGTCAAGTCGTTCATCTGTGTAGCTGTCTGTGCTAATGATGCTGGCTTTGCGAATATCAAGTTGCTCGGGTGAGGGAATAGCGTAGAGATCGGCGAGGGTGTCACTCATTATTTCGGCAAATGAGGAGGGTTGTGCAATGCGATCATATTTATAGAGCCCTTTTAAGAGTACACATGCACACAGGTGCACATGGTCGCGGGTTTGTAGTAAACACCATGGTACGTTACGGATCATCCACTTATACCGTGGATCTAGGGACCGGGATATCCATTCTGAGCTGCAATAATCACGCGGATGTGAGAGCCCTTTGCGTGACAGAATGCCCTGATGCTCATTCCCTTCCTTCCTAATAGTGGTGAATCGTGGTGACTGCAAAAGTCCCAAATACTTGCAAAAAGCCAAAAAAATGTATGCGAGGAGTTAGGGAAAGCTCTGACCGGCCTACTAGTTCTTGAACTGTAAATTGAGCATTTTTTCAATCTTGACGACAAAACGTTCACCTTTACTACTTTTTGTGACCTCTATCACACCTAGATACTCAGATCAAGGTTGTGCAACTCAAATCAGTGGCCCTTTGCAAGCGACTATGCTATCAACAAAACCAAATAGAATTTATATTTTATTTTAGTGCTCAAGGCGAAAACAACTTCTTGATTTAAACGTAATGTTTTACTATTGACCTATTAGTGAATCTAACGTCAAATTATGCGTTTTACTACCCTTCCATGGTGGCTTCCAGTTTGTCATCAAAGCAAACTTATTGATTGAAGGTTTTGGAGGCCCAACTCTCTGACCTTCCAATGTTCCAATCCATTTTGTTCGTACTTTAACGTGTGCATATACTAAAGTTGGTAAAAAAACTAAATCATCAAATAACATAACATGAAAGTATTCAAAATTGTGCCAAATGATGACGATATAATGGTCATTGCATCAAGATGGTAAAAAATGTATTGGACTGGGTGGACAATTAGCCAATTTCGATCTAATTGTGTTGTAATCAACGGATTGTCTGCTAAATGGCCTTCCGCGGGTCACGTGATATGCAGTTCCCTACAGACGAGCAGAGAAAAGGTAGCACGTGCAACCATGCTTCCGGTTCGTGGTCAGAGGGTGTAGAAGTAATTAAATGAAGGTAAATTTTCACACTTTCGGAGGGTGATTAGCAAGCGGCGACAGAGGGCGTCCAATTTATCAGTCCCATTCTACTGCTGTTTACTTAGCTATCTCACTAGTTAATTGGTTTTGTATAATCAAAAAACTAAAGTGCCCTAAACGAAGGTGCAAAATTGTGACCCCAGTTGCAGGGGACTCCAATTTACTACTAAGCATACCGGATTTCACGTCTCACGATCCTTTTCAATCAAGTACGAAAGCCACTGAATGGTACCGCTTGTTGCAAATGGACTTGTATTTTATATTTGAAACGAAACACCCTCTTTGTTAAACCCTTGTAGTGTTAAGCGGAAACCGTTTTCTTAGTTATGTGTTTGATTAAAGCTGGATGAATACAAAGCTACGCTCCTATTATTTGTCCTCAAACTAAAGTGTGGGCTACTTGTTGATACTCCAGGCTTGTTTGCATTACGTTGAGCAAATCAAAAGTGGGATCAATTGTTCATCGAATCTTTTCAAGTTTCACAATTTTTCAATAACAGCATATCACTGAGATCCAACATTATCCATTATATATAATATATAACGCGCTGTTCACCGATACAGCCCGTCACATATATGTGACACACTTGACTAAAAAATGATGCATTGTGATGTTAGAACCATAGAAAACCTTAGTCATATTGGTGGTTACTTCTTTAAGACTCTGGCAGCAAACGTGTCAAATAGATCTAGACCTCTGGCATGGATGCAGTTCAACACTCTAGTGAGTTGCGCTAAAAATGAGAGATAAATGTAAAGATTAAGAGAATACCTGTCCAAACAGTGCTTACTAAATTTCGAACCTTATTTCCCTCAGCTAAGCCATTCCTGATGCATCTAGTAGAAGAAAATATAGGGATTTATATGCTTTTATATTAGCGACCAACTTGAAAGAATTAAAGCATCTTAATTCTACCTTAAAGGCAAACGCGGAGCATGTCATACAATTTTGTATCCACTGGAAGGATTTCTGTTCCTTCCTTCCTATCTCTTTGGGGGTCATGAAGAATGTACTGTATTTTGGAATCGGTTCCAAGCTGCTAAATCACTTCAGATAATTTATTTTGTCGTCATATGTAATAATCTAATCTTATATCATATATTTAAATCCAAATTCCGACAAGAATACTCATAAAGCATTATTTTAAGTTTTTAAAAGCAATAAATTTTAAAGCTAGTTTCTATTTTACATCAGTATTTACTCTCTGCTGCGTGCCGTATAAGTAGCTTCGACACAGTTTGTTGACTGGTGGTCCTACTGCAATGCATTCGATTTATTTGTATATCCAGCAAATATCTACACCACGAGTCATAATTTTAACAAGCCTTTTTAAGATAAACAAAGAGATGAGATTAATATCCGGAGATCTCCACCAGAACGTCGCTGACCGGGCCTACGAGTTCACTTTTTCTACTTGTATTTCCATCGAGAATAGAGGAAGCAACACCTTTGAGAATGCTAGCTTCCAATATGCTAGGGACAGATATGGTGTCGCATGCATCATAGACTCTCACATTACTCCTTCCTCCGCTTAGACGGCAAGTGTAGTAAACGAATAAAAGACATTTGTCAAGGGCGGACTGCGACAGAACAATAGGTAAACAGACTGAACCAAGTAACTGAGGTGTGTTAGGCCCATCCATGCCTCTCTCTGTGCATGAATAAAGTACCAATTTACATGGCTGAATTACTATGCTAGCCAGTTTACATCGCAGACTGCAAACAACTTCAACTCGTGATTGAGTTTGCCACGTGAGACACCACTTTTCGAAGACAAATGCCAAGACTGCGAATGCTGAAGTACTAGAGAGGGAAAAATTTTCTCATCCTGTTGCTTTTTATTCATACCCCACTTTGAATAGGTTGACCACCTCATGAACGCATATTCAATGGTAAATACAGGCGCTCCCAGTAACAATAGAATAGACAAGTGAGAACAAATCATTGAGAAATAAATGCAATCCAGGCGGTGATAAAGCTTAGGTTATTTACTTCTTGCCAATAGCAAGTTAAAAGGGCTATAAAAGTACATGAACCGTATTAGCTGTTTATTCAGTGAATACTGAAACATTTGTACGTTTGATAAAGCTGATATCCCTGATATGGCCATAAATGCGTAAAATGAGAACTGAGCTGAGTCCGACGTGATAGTTACGAATGCTTAGTTGATTATGCACAGACCCTAGGCTCAACGGGTTCTAGGGCTTTACTACGGGGTCAGTAGTCCCCCAAACCAGATCTACTTCGAAGATCGAGGTCATTGATAGTAATTTGCCACGACGACAAGGTAGACGAACGACATATTTTACAAATTGAACAAGCAACCAAACAAAGTTAAGCTATTTTAAATCTCTGCACTTTAAGCGAGCATGCAGGCTGCAAAAGTGAATTTCACCGGGAGCTATTGCATTTTGCCCCATAACTGTACCAATGCGGCGTATTGGCAGAACATCAAGGAAAAATGAGCCATTAGCGCACCACAGGTTCTACTTAACCACAGCCACCGTGACGCATTCATAGAAGGGGAACAGACAAAATTGCTTGGGATTAGTCTATCCATAAGTTGGACATAACTCAGAAAGATGCAACTTTCTTCGCATCGTATTTGAAAAAGACGGCCGATTCCACAATTGGCTGCTCTACTTTTATTCAAGGTAAAAATAAAAATAACTAGAATTGGTTAAAAGCAACTAAAACGAAAGAAACAGAAGTTGCAGACAAGTAAGTTCATTAGTGTTACTAAAAAGACGTCACGATGCCTGAGCCTAAGAACCCCAAAACATCTAGGCGATACAAATTTGTTGCTTCTAACACCACAAAAAGGTATAAAACACAAGTATTGCAAGATCGTTGCTACAAATTGGCTTACTATCTGAAAAAGCCAACGTCAACTTAGCACGAATCTCCCTTCGGTCACATGTAAACAAGCAATCTTACGGTGTGATCTTATAGACGTAAAAACCACGCAGACCTGCACACACAAACCGCCTACTGCAATCGTTCGTGCTCCCATCCCAAGTTCCCTTACGCATTTGTAGCCCAGTTTGGCTTAACAACCACTTTACTTAGGTTGGATCGGCTAATGTGAGCAAAAGTAACCAGCATTAGCGAGTAACGTTGAAAGCCTGAATGAAGACGAATTCAGTTTGGACTTCTACCAAAGGGATATAAAAGACGCCACTTCATTCACACAACTTTACTTAAAGTGATGCTATAGTTGCAACTACTTAAGCGACTTACTTCAGGATGTCGAGGCTTCCTTATTATTCCACGCCTGTACCAACGCACCCCGTAATCTCTCACATTTTGATGGTAGCTCACGCGGACTTGCGAGCAAACGTAAACAGCATGAAGTTTTGAAGTGTAGTTCCTAAATACATTCGATTAGCATTAAAGGGTGCCGTTACTGCCAGCGGCCTAGTCCACAAAACGCCGTGCGTACAAAGACGTTCAAACGCGCACGGACCTTTTTGACGCGCTTTAAAACAAGAAACACGTGACCGGTGACGTAGCCACTGTTGCTGATGTCGGAGCAGCGTGCAATGGAAATTGAAGCCCGCATTTTAGGTTCTTCTGTTCACATTCAAAAACTCTCTTTTCACGATAGAATTTAGATAAGCAAGGAGTTGTTAATGTTCTCGTAAAATCCAAAAGTTGAAGCTTGTTTATCCAAGAGTCCCCGTCTTGTAGATAGCTACACCATTTTTGAATGTATATGAGTGTATTGTCGGTTGCGGACATTTTTGTGCTAAAGTGACGAAGAAAACGTCAATTCGATCATCCTTGAACCAAAAAGTCCTACAACTAGGTCATTTGTTTTAAACAATCTGTTTGTGACAACTTGGTGGAACCAGTTATCATAAACTGACAGGGAGTAGTTATCGCACATTTACGACGCTGGTAGCGAATGCGTTAAAAATAAAGTGTGGTAAGTGAAATACCTTGATGTTGAAAGATCAGTTTTTTGCGAAGATCCATATTACATTGTTTTATAGGACTAGTGACTCACAATGCTGACGAGCGCCCGCTTTCGTGGTGTCACTTGTTTATCTGGGTGGCTCATTCAGGCAAGTAAAATTTGCATCGACCAACTTTTAAGGTATTTTGAGATAGCGATATAACTACAAAACCATAATCAAATAGCCATAAAATGCATTCCGGAAAAGTGCATTGTCTACGTGGACTTGCTACCTGGGTGACCGAAACAAGGCCGATAGGAGCCACCAAAGTTCAATCACCTGTAAACGAATGACTTAATGCTTTGATTAAATGTTGAATAAATAAAAGTATCAAATGTGTTTACTTGTGTGTGTGTGTGGAAGAAAGACTTTGATACTTGCACACTTTTATAAAAAGTCTGAAAACATCAGATTTGCAGGAGTAACTACTTTGCAGAGAATTTGCCTTGTGACATGGGGTTATGTAGTTATAAATGAGTAAAAATCCACACAACTTTCCCTACTAATGCTGTATGCATGTTTGAGGCTTTCCTACTAGCAATTTAATTTACAAGCTCAAGTCCAAATGGACGAAAAAAAGAACATTCTTTCACAGGACTTTCATCAGCAGCACAAATGAGATAACTTGCAAGGGATTGCGATCTCACTGATGCTATTCGCATCATAAAACACTTTTTGTCTATCACACAGTAACAGAGGTAACATTATGCTCAAAATAAGATCACATTAAGGCTTAAACACATCCAAAAGACTGACATTTTCTTAGGAATGACTGGCGATTTCTTTACACAAAACGTTTCTTTTGAACTATTTCACCGATATGCTCCATGGGGATACCGTTGCGGCCGAAGAGAGTATTTTTGATAACGTCGCTACGGTTGAAAGGTTTTTTGATGTTATCCAGTTTCACCATCTCACTGAAATACCAGCCGTAATCCCATGAAGCCGGGAATTTGTAGTTATACTTGTGTTCTGGGTCCTTCCGATCCCTCAACTTCAAGTACCTTGACCTTCAAACACAAAAAGGAGAAAAGTTAACCTATTTCGGGAATAAGAAAAGTATTAGACTAAGCTACTGGGTAAGCCTAATTGGGTTTCAAATTATTTTCGTCCAGAAGACTTCGTATCCCGGGTGGTCCTTCAAATAAAGCTTTTGACAACTTCCGATGAAACTAGTAAAAGATATTTTGACTCCTTTCCCATAAGTTATACTAATTTGTTTGAATAAAAGCTAAGAATTAGGGAATTATGGAGTGATGCGGATGACTGCTCAGGCTAAAAGGAATAAATTCAACCAGTAAACTCACCCACTGATGATAAAATGCCTAGATTTTCTTAGTGCTTCCATTACAGGAAGTGTAAAATAAAATGCCGGTAAAACAAACCTTCCACCACCAGTAGCCGAGATACCTTCATACAAGGTATCCCTGATTTCTGGTGTAACAGGGCGCATCAAATCCAGCGATGGGAGACTGTCAACGTTGAATTTGTTAAGTTTGAATTCACGAAGCTTCTTTTTATGCTCCAACTCCTCTTGCTTTCGCTTTTCCCCCGCGGCTTTGAGCATCGCGATGCAACGCTCATTTTTCAGGGTGCTCAGCTCCAACTTATGGCGAATAATTTTTGACGCAGTGCCCAGATTGTCCGGTGAACAGAGGGTGTCCTTATGCTCCACAAAAAATTTGTAGGCGGCATCTTCCTCCTTCTTTGTGCGTTCCTTGAACTCGGACACGGATTTTACACTCTCGAGGATTTGCCGTGCCATTACTGCATCCGTTGGAACGTCAACTCACACCTCCCTAAGACATGCAGAAATATCGATTCGTGTCACACTCCTTGCATTCCAGAGGCTCTGCGCCTTCTCCAATTGACATTTGAAACGATGCTTCCGTCCGAAGGCAAGCTCATACACTGGTCAGATGATACAAATTCTTCGGTAGATGACTCGCTTACATGGACTGCCATCATATCTTAGTTTCAACAGTTTGCATACATTTAAACAAGTGTGATGGAATATGTATTTGAAAAAGGCCTACTATGTCGTACTTAGTAGTATTTTTTGTGCCACCATCATAGCAGCCATTCGCACCCCGTCTATGACCCGTAAAGACCACCGAAGACTGTTTCGTTGCAGCAGTAAAGTCAAATCAAGCCCCCTTTTTAATTTAATGGCTACTCAATCATTCGAACCCGTTTCTTCTTCGTACCTCCCTTAACGGATACTTTGAGTAAGGGCTTAGTCGCCCAACTTGACTAAGGCACAAGGAGTGGCACTTTTTTGGAATCAGTTTTATTTTACACATCTTGAAACTTAAAGGCAGATAATGATCTTTAATTCCGCAATAAACTGGAAGAATCCGTTTCATTAAATGCATCAACCTAATAAACTTTAAAATTAAGGCGAGAATTTATTGTAACAGGGCAAATAACTTCTGCAAGTGAGTTCAAAATTCTACTAAGGTGACCACACTAGCATCAAAGTTCATTTTCCAAATGAGAAATATAGCAAAACGATCGCACAAACCGGAGAATGGACCCAAGTTCTAACGGTACTTGTAATATGTTGGCTGTTCAACTGCCAGTTCTGCTAAATGGTCGACACCATTGTACATTTGCAGGGTGGGCTGGCAATCTAGCCATGCCAGTAGCTCCAAGCTCTTCTATACTTCAAAAATACCTATCTTGCCCTGGTGCTGTGGCTTTCATCTCCAGAGAAGTCTCAGGACGCTACATTAGCAACAGCGGAAAGCGAACCCGATCTTAAAGTACAGCTAGCCTGTTTTCTACTGCTGAGTGACAAATTTTAGCAGGGAGGGGAAGAAGGACGTTAGCTACTTCTGAAAGAATCGATGACAACTTATTACAGAAGAGATGAAAATGACCTTTACCTTCTGTAATCATCTTAGTTCATTATCTTCACTAAAGTTATTAATGATCAAGGCGGCATTAGCCATGAATCTTCTAAAAAGCTATGTTATGGGACTGCCTACGGTATCTATATGAAGATGTCATTTAAGTGAACGCACAATACCGCCTCCACTTCTTTTAAAGCTGGATCGAACCCGAATAGAATGGCCGGGCAGCTTTGAAGGGGAAACAACGTAACAAAGAGAAGTAGATGCAAAACCCTACCCCCACAGATTAATGCTAAATCTCGTCCTTTGTTAAGTGATTCTACTTTCAGGCTAGTGGACATGCTCGAAGGAAAAGAGGGGCTCTGTAATACGTCGGTTGTCTGTCAATCTCTTGGTTTTGCCAAAGAGACCACTTGGGGTTTCCGCCATTATGCGCTGGCCTCTGCGTCTACCAATATTCCCAAGCTCTACTGTATGTCGACACTACATATTCTGCAAGAGCATTATAACTTATTTCGTCTTGGAATAGTCCCAAGGCGCTACACACTGACCAAATTTCAGTGAAAAGCAAAAAGGCTGCTTTTGCATAAATGAAGATAAATGGATACGAATATGCTTTGCAAGATAATTCACTTTACCTTTATTTTTCTTATGACTATTCAAATTCAGTAAAGCTCATTCCTCATTTAGTCATTAGGCCAAATTTCATTCCAGTGAACCGTTTTCTTTAGCATTTCTAGATTAATTTTAGTCACGGAGGAAACTCGAATTCGCAGGCAGAAGAATGCAAAACGTTTAGCTTGCTTTACTCTCACGCCATGCTACAATTCCTACTTTTAAATTAATCAATGCATCTAAGATGATTGTACGCCTACATTTTCGCCAACGGAGGTGCTACGCAAGCGCAAAAAGAGCGGTCTTTTTTAAGAGCGTCCATTTAATTGATAGCAGGATAAGCCATGAGTGCCATGGCCGAAGAAGTCGCCTTCTCGGACGGACCGAGGAAACACAATCGCATGACGTGCTCTAATGAAAGTAGGCATGATCAAAGCATCTGGAATGACGCCATCTCCCGATCTGGTCTTGATAGCGAGCAGATATTCATGGCCATCAAAAAGTTGCTTCGTTGTACCGTCTGCTTGGAATACCACACAGAAGCTAATCAGTGCAAGAACGGCCATCTGATTTGCCGACAATGCACGCATCAGTTAGAGCGAGGGCTGCAGCAGGAGACAAATAGAGGCACCTGTCCAACCTGCAGAATCACCCTTTTTCCAGGAATATCACGTTGTCTTCTGGCGACTCAGTTGTCAGCTGAGTTGCCGACCCCTTGCCTATTTTGCAACCTCTACTTTCGCCAAAGTGAACTTGAGCGCCACGAAACAAGTTTATGCCTAATGCGACCGGTGAAGTGTAAGTACAATATTTTCGGTTGTCTGTGGAAAGGCAAAGCTAACGAGGCACCCAGGCACGAAAGAAACTGCTCAGTTTCCAAGCGGTCGGTAAGGGATGTGGAGGCCATAATTCAAGAGAAATTTTACCAACGCTCTAAAAGGTCAAACGACAGCAGCAATTCTTGGCATGAAATAGTAAATCTATTCAAGGAACGACCCCTTGGAGTCTTTGTTTGTGTTCGAGAGGCCACGCTACATCAAGTGATGCGCGAAAACAGGAGAAACGAGTTTCGTTTCCAGTGCACAACAGGCCAGCTTTCTCAGACAGGCCAATTCAATGCCACAATCGAGCTCACTATTAATTTGGATGAGCTCAAATTTTATTATCGTACTAAATTGCACTCCGGATTTACAGAATTAGTGAAATTCCGACTGCTAACTATTCATGGCTATGATTTGGACATTCCAACTGCTGACAGGCTTCGCGCGCCCAAGTCTAAGCACTCGCATGAGTGGCAGAAGTTTCATTGTCATTTTAACGTTTGTGACAGCAAACTTATGGCATTGGCCAACAAGTTTACTGAGCTGGCTACCGAAAACGGTGCCGACTTTGCGCTTAGACTGGAATTTTTGGTCATTTTTGAAAATGTGCATGCTGTACGCATGTCTCGCGGGGACTATCATGGATGGAATGTAGTCATTCCAGCATCACCAACAGAGTCCCAAATAAACGAGGATACCTCAGAAGCGCCTGCACAAGAGGACTCGACGAGACTAAATAACAACGGGCATCATGAAGAAGATGATGAAGACGAAGACAACATAACGCCACCTCCCGTGGTGAATAATAACAGAGGTCAGATGGAAGGCACATGGGATTCGACACCCGATGAACTGAACATTCCCCCTGAAATCGCGGAGGGATATCGTATTTTCATTGATGAAGTGACTGAAGGAGTAGTTGTGGCTATGAATGAGGCCGCAAATCGAGAATTGCAACGTGAGGATGTAGCGAGAGTTTTGAGGTTCGAGGAACTTCCACCTTCAATTAGTATGAGAAATAATAATGCCTTGGGAAGGTCTGAAAATGAAGCAAATGACTTACTAATTCTGGGCGAATTGGAGGCAGAAAAAGTGGGAGATGAATCCAAACCCGTTTCTGAGAATGAAAGCGAGGTGACAAATGATGATGATGATGACGATGATGAAGGATCACCAAGAAACTGTAGTAATGTCGGCAAAATTCATGCTTCAGATAAATCACCACGAGTCGTGAGATCTGAAGCCCATATTAAAGCGACTAGTAGTGATAAACATTCACAAAGGATCGCATGGAAAAGCAAAACTACCACCACCAAACGATTTGGTCAAACTTTTGACCGATTAGCGCCGTACTTGACAAGAGGGCACATGTGGCAGAACTTTGAAGCTATGAAATGTAAAATGAAAAGAAATCGTAATGTCAAAAGAAATTCGAAAGTTTTCAAACGTCGTAAAGTGACAAAGCCTCGAAAGAGGATAAGTAAGGACATTTTGCCCGCAACACCAGGACTGGCAGGCCACATGGTAACCCTTCTAACACCGATCACCAGCTATTGGAAGACTATGAAGAGAATTAGTGTAGATTTGCTTGAGAAGGGACATCAGATGTTGAAATCACTTCGCACCTCAAACAGAGAAACAGACTCCCAAAACCTGATGGAAATGCCGACCCTATCGCGCAGAACAGCAACAGCAGAGTGGATTGCACAACCGATTGGAGATGGAATGATTGCAAGATCGGGCGGTGATACGCCCGGCTGGCTTTTCAATTAGTAAAGCCACTACCCACAGGCAATGACCCAGCTCTGGCGATATTCGCCATTGCTTTGATGATCTGCTAGTTCGCAAATGCAGCACTATAAATGTTTACAGGTTGGCTTCATTGAGGCCACGTAAGTAGGTTCACTTTGTAGGTACTTTTGGAGTTAAGAGGAATAAAATATTAAGAAGTATTCATATCTTCCTATTTGATTATATATATTCAAAATTCTCTAGAGCATTATGGTACCACCAACTGGGCTTCGGCGAAGGTCACATACAAAATTTCAAACTCATTTCCGACAAAACGGTTTTCGAGTAACTCGATATTAAAGCGCAAACTCCATTGTTGTTAGTCTGCCTTGAATAAATTTCTGGCATATTAAACCGTTCAACGTTACAATATCGGCTGAGATTTCATGGGCTTAAGTAGTAAAACAATAATTGTTGTGTTGAACGGTTCTAGCTGCGCTTTTAGTTTTTTTTAGACATGAGATCAAACAGTCGCATTTGATAGCCTAGGGTTCTGTCCATCAAAACAGGTGAAGATAAAGTTTTTCTTATGGAAATATTTTTTGTCTGAGTCAGTTCACTGGATTTATCACTAACCTATCAAACATACCCTTGCAATGCCTTTGCTAATTCCCTTTCAACAAGAAGAATTCCCTTATATTGTCTTAAGGGGATGTGGGAAGCTTGGGAAAACATTCGTCAACTTATTTAAATAGGCGCTTACTTTAAGGTAGCGTACACAAGCTGGAGGTTGGAATGGAAAAATACAGGTCCATATCTCAAGCAGACGTTAAGTGGTTTAGGGCGTTGTCCACCCAAGCGGACGATGGGGATATTACCAAAATACGATTTGGAAAATGGATATGTACAAGCTCAGGTGAGGTTAATTTCCAGCGCTAAAGACGGATTGATAAGAGGTGTGCAACCTACCTGCTGATATCTATCATCTAGTCAAGTTTCTCAAAAGGGAAGGCTTTTACTTGACCACATCTTGATCTGACGGCTTCACAATATACTGCTTTTACGAGTCTACCTTACATTTTACCTTTAAGGGTAAATTTGGACGGATATTTACAAAAAAAGGCCCCAGCACGCATATTTCATGCTAAAATCTATGCTCATAGTAGGATGTCTAGATAAAAGGATAATCATATTTTAACTATTTTAAACAGTTGATTTAATTGAACATACCGGTGACCACTCTAGCCATCCATGTAGAACGAGGTGAGGGTTTGCGATTCAGTTATTACAAATTAAAGGAGGGCATTTCACATGGATTAAAATTCCTTTTTCGACTGATAACTAAGTCATTCAGCGATTCCCCTATAAAGTTACGGGTTGATTTCAGTTTTGAATACAGTATAGCATTCATGGTTTTGTCTCCTCAATTAGCATGATAATAAATAATGCAAGTAACACACACTGAAAAAGCACCATTGCCTAGTGTTCAGCCTAAAGGAAGTCTTTCAGCAGAAGTTTTCCATCCTCCACATGTACCATTAAATTTAAAAAAAGTCGCTGATGCGATCCAGGTAGTCCTAATCGGTAAACCAACTTTGCCATTGCAATTTGACATTTTCAGAAGACAGAAAAATATCATTTTTTGAGTTCCCAGGTCCGCTGCAGCTAATACATCCATCCTCCAAATAAAGTTGTCCGCGCATCTGTCTTGGTAAGGTGAAAGTTCAGTTAGACCACTTTCACCCGAAGGCAGTGGGGAAGGCAAAGCAAGGCTTAATAGTTGTGACTTAAATGTAGCAAATTTATTAACCCACCTCCTGTTGGTCAGAGAGAATCAGGAGTAATAACGTGTTGAGAAAGGAGTGGTAATTCACACACCGGAATGTCCTTAGTTTAAAACATATTTCTTTGCCATACGTATTACCAATATTTATCCACTTAGTTGGGCAAATGTTTTCTCCACTACAGACCCCCCCGCACTAGCTTTATGCCTCTTACGCAACGCTACATGGTTTCACTCAAATAACTTGCCTACCTGATAGCAGATAAAACAACCATTAAAGAGGAGCGAAGGCGATCCCGCCTAAAGCACAACCTTGCGGCAATTCAAGCCCACTTTTGATAATTTTTGTTTCTAGAGAGGAATTTTAAATAGCATTAAGTACTGTGAGATATCAATATAAATATTTGTTACTTTGATGAAATTTCACCCCTTTCCGCATGATATAAGCCAACACAAGCAGTCAGTTGGAACCATTGCTTCAACAGTGATTGCTTAAATTTATTACATGTGCAAAGATGTGTTCACCATTACCACTAAATTATTCCCATGGACAAACTGACGATTTAGTTGTAAAAAAACTATTTAACACTGATATTAGCTCTCATTATGTCTCACTTTGTAGTAGGGTGAATGACAAATCCAACGCTTTAAATCTCGAAGCACTTCTACAAGTAATTAAGTAGATTAGAAACGGAATGGAAAGTGCACACTGTCAAGTTACTTCACTCAGCAACACGTCCAAACCAAACCAACTTCTAATTTCTGCATTTTTGAAGAAGTAATTTAGCAAGTTGAGTTAATTTCACGAATTTGACTAATTCTTATTTTTGACTGAAATGCCAGGAAATAAAGAAGCATAAGTTCTGCCAAGTGTGGTGCGTATTTGAGTGTATGCCCTGTAAAAGGGGCAAATCTGCCTCCACGGGATGGATACGTGCAGATGGGATAAGTCACTGCCCCAATTTCCAACAAATAGAATGCTAGAACGGAGCCAACGCCCTCAGTAAAATACTAGGCACGGTTGAGTTAAATAAAGTGGGGTTTTGAGGAGCTCCTTACCTTAAATCTGCTGCATGTTAACTTCCCATTATTATTCACATTGAGACAAGTGCATATTCCGCAGTGATTTTCATTATTCCTATCACCTTTTCCCATTCATCAACGAAATAATGCCTTCTTGCCGAATACCTATCCCGACATAAATTTTTACTCAATTTGATCTCCACAAAATGCGGTACAGGACTTTAAAAACGTTACGCACGCAGGAGGATGGATGGATCTGCTACCCGCATCTGTTACCTTTAGGCGAACATTGAAGATTAAAAGCAGTCCATTTAAGGCAGAGCTTGCCTTGATGAGAAATAAAAATTTCGACATGGGCGACTGAAAGGATGCAAATTACCCTCACAAATGAAAATGCATTATTCTATCATCAGGCACTTGCAACTACGAAGTTACCTCTTCTGCATGGTACAAGACTTTTCTATAGAGCAATAGCTAAAAATTAAGAATATTTTTGATGTGTAAAACAAGTCATTTAAAATAAGCTTACTTGCACGGCCTGGATCGTTTCCGTGTGGAGAAACTCTTTGAAAGCGTAGGTGAAATGGGATTTAGGTGAAGTGATCACCTATGAACCATGTCAACTTCATAAATACTAGGTGCCTGGGTAGAATTTTGAGTCTTGGATAAAACGAAGTCATTTGGGTTTAAGAGTGGTAGCAGTATATGAATACAATGTAACAAAGTAGATTCGCATAGCACAGAGGATTACGGAACCCCGAAATACAAGCAATAGGATTGTCAGTTTCCGACTGGCGACCCTTTCTGATTTTTGCAACAATGCTGCCTTTTAGGCGCTATTCATATACCCTAGCACAGCGATTGTAAAAATAGTGGAAACAATGGCCTAAAAATTGGTAATAGACTGAAAGTAAAAACGGATATCCTATCAGTTCACCCTAAGTCCACACCCACACTGAATACAAATGCAGCAAAGACTCGGAAAACTTGCCTTTGCTTCTCTGTCGATACTTAAATATTTATGAGGTCATTTCTTCGTTCTACGAGATAAATCGGCCTCCAAACATACACGAACTTAGCGCAGCCGCCTTTGCAAAAAAGTAGATTTGGGCAGAACCCCTGCCCACCATAATGCGATTGGTGGATGGGACACGCCGACCTCCCAAAAAATATCACAAGCGAGGTATTTATTGCATGAGGTATCCTTTAGAGTCCTATTTTAAGCGTTTATACGCTCAAGTGTAAGGCCGAATTTCTATTTATTTTCTGGCAGAATAATAACTCTACGCTTAAATTACACTTCCAACTGTACAAATGAATTAAAATTTTTACTACCGTACTAAACCGGAGGAAATGAAACTCTCCATTTTAGCCCCTACTGATTAGACAGTAGTTACTAAATAATCCGATATAAACAAAACCGCACGTTTCAGTGAGTATGTTGAAATACTCTATTCTAGATGCGGAGAGGAAGCTGTTTGTTCAGTTTTTTTTTCAGGTCATGTAAAAGGACAAGGCGTGAGTTTTGGGACTACTCCAGTTTGAAGACACCTTTATGGTGCTTAAATAAATATCTAAGTGGATACTCCCTTTGGGGGTAAAAAATATCACGGCAATAACATGAATGAGGGCAAATTCTCGCTCACGCGTAGCAGGCCTTATCGCCATAATGCAATGCCAACGAGTTAAATGCATCCGCATCGTGGAAATAGCGAAACATTGCTATTTTTTTCTAAGCGGTAACGCAGTTAAGCAAGGCAGGTACTCACTTACAGTTGCTCTTACCACGAAACTGGAGGGCGAAAATCCCCTCCACTGCAGCTGCAAAGCTCCCTGCTTTGCAGTCGGCTTAAAAGCGTAGCAGCGCGCAACACTTGCATTCAGTTTAGCGGCTAAACCCCAATCTCAAAACAACTACTTTCGGTTAAAAAACCAAGAGAATGCAGAACAGCGTGAGAAATTGAAGCAACTTATGCAAATTTGAATCTGCACGGAGCAAAATATAAGGTGTGAACACAAACAGAAGGAATTCAACAAACAAACCCTCACATTTCAACACACCATGTTTTGAAAGTAACACCGTTAACACACGAATTTTAGCTAACAAAACAAGCACTCCCGGGGAAGAAATCCAAAAACGAGTATTGTGAGATTGAGTACGGACGTCTGTTTCATGTCAAGTGGTAAATCGAGGAGAATGGATATTTTACAGCTCTGGTGACAAGTCACGATCTAGGAGGGCTCTCCGCTCCTTAGTTTGATCTGATTCTCCATTTTCCGTGACATCAATAATACTAAAAGGAAGAAGCAAATCGCATTCGTTTGCGTTCTAGAATGTTAAATTGATCATTTCATAGTCGTTGAAGGTTCTTAACCTTTTGTATCTGTTCGGCAAAACTTAGGGAAACCGTTACTTATGGCCCCTTAAAGGCAAAGTAAATATTCACATCTTGTCACCTTCGTGGAAAAACAACCCTAAACTTTAGAGAGATTTTTCGTGTCAGTGACACAGCCTGTACAAATGAATGGGCAAATGGTGTGAAGGAATGAACTTTTAGAGTTGTTCTTCACCACTTAAAATTTGAGTGAGTAAAATGTCGTTTATGCTGAAATAACCTGAAATCTATAGAAGTGGATGTGGGTCACCACATATTTCCTCCGTTTCTTAAATAACATGTCCTGCAGCCAAATTTTGTTCGTCTCATAGATTCTAACTATTAATCTCATGTTTAATTAGCCTCAGAGCGAGACTAAACTTACAAAGGCACTGCAGGGACCATTAAAGGGAAAATTACATCACATGATGTTTTTTACTATGCCATTTTAAGTCCTGATGTGGACAGTGTCATCTGGAAGCGACCACAGCATCCATAGGCTTGAACTTGACCCATGTTTACTTACATGAGCTTTCGACTTGATCCAAAGGGATGCTTTGAATGCTTTGAAGAAAGACGCCTGTCTTCATACCATCAAATAATAGTAAAGTTACTAGCATTATGTCATAAATTAACGCGTTTTAAATCGGGGAAGTGAGAGCAAAAGAACACTGGAAATACTTCCGACAAACAGATTATTATTTACTGAGAAGCCTTCTCCATGTTAGACGTTCTGACCTTAGTTTAATAGGATTCACGGAAGTATAGCGTTTGAAATATTTGTAAAATTAATGACCCATTTATAATTCCTGACTAATCTTAAGACCTTCAAAGCAAAAAAGCAACTGAGACTTCTAGCACGTTCCATTTGGAAATACATAATTACGCATTAACCTATCCACAACGCAAAATATCCCAACTACTAAGAAAAATTGCGTATACCAAGTCAAAACGAGCAGTAATAGGTAATTATTAGGTAAAAACACAACAGGATACCTGTAATATGCATTGATAAATGCAGAAAAACTAGGCTAAAGCCACACACACACACACACAAAGTAGAAGGGGTAAAAAGAAACAAATGGGGGTGTTAATGAAGATAGAAATCTGTTCAGATATCACAGGCTCAGTGGAAAGGATGAAAGAAGTTTGGAATGAGTAGGGAGTGGTCAGATGGAATGAATGTCGAAATTGGAGTGAGGGAAACGCTGGGGATCTTCCAAAAAAGAAAAGGAATACATATCGTTCTATACAGGTTCTTTGATCAAAGATAAAATACACTTCTAAGCATAAACACAGTCCTTGATTTGTGCATAAATGCAACCATTGCATAATGTGGGTCTGATTCTCTCCCTCTCTCACATCAGCGATGCCGAACACTGCGAAAGAACATACAGGTGAGTGATGACGAGGCGTGCAACACGTATGTGACACCCTAAAGCTGATTTCATCGGTAATTCCGCAAAATACTCTACATCATATTTTTAGGGTAGAACCTGCTATTAGTAGTTACAAAGCAATAGTAAAGTGGTACAACTAAGAAACCGACTTTATTGAAAGGATTGCTTACGGTTGGGATAAATAGTAGACGCTATTCCCCCGCATAAGTAAAATGGGATAAACTTATAATTTTGGGCAAACTATAAATCAGTAATTAAAAAAATAGAATTAACTTGTGCCAAAAGTGTATCGCATCAGAGTGCTTAGTGGTCGTTTTATAGGAAGGGAGAAAACGATCCAGCTTCATGTTAGCCAAAGGAAGGTCAGCCGAGTCAGCGACACAGCAATGCAATATTAATGCTCTTTTCAACGCGTAATGTCATTGATGGTAGAGCAATATATAAATCTATAAGTATTGAATAGTAAATTTTACATTTAGTTATAAAACTCTAGTCGTTAAAGGTAATTTTAAGCCCCATGCACTAATGATAAATTGGTGTGAAAAAAACGTGAAGCCCCTACACGAATTTCTGGCCTATAAAGGGTTTGAAGTAAGAGTTTTTGCATGTTGAAGCAGAAGTAGAGAAAAGATATGTACCCAGATTCCCGTGAAGAGGACTTCGAGGCACTCGATGTTTGTCCGTCGTTCAACGAGGGTGGTTCTGTTTTCGATTTTTTAATGCGACGATTTCGTTCATAGACTAAAATGAAAGCGGTGAGGACTAGCAGCTCCACACCGATACCCAGAAGAGGCCAAAACGTCGACTTTGAACCTTTAAAAGGGAACAGTTAAAATACAGTAAATTCCATATTTAAGGTTGTGGAAGGGCTGAAACGTTGAGATAATCATAATCCGAATGCTTTTATACCTTTAAGCATGAAAGATAACGTGCATCTACCATCTGAAAGGTTTTCAAAAGTACTCAAATAATTTATGGAATATTGGTCAATACAGAAGTCAAAAGGACATAATTCTTAACAGATCACTGCAGATTTTCTGAAATCTGGTGGTCTTTGAATAGGCTACAAGGTGTCGGCTTGTTGTTGTCTTTGGAACAGAAAGCCCTCGATCCTCTGTAAATACCAACTCCTTGTTCTGCAAAGATTACGCCCTTCTCAACACAGTCCCCCCGACCCAAATACCTTAAGGTCTCTTTACTTATTTCCAACCACATTTAATAACCCTTTAGGCTTATGGAACGCAAAGGCACATCAAAAAAGAGATATAAACAAACAATCAATGGAAAAGAGTCGAGAAGAACATCAAGAATGTTGAGCAAAGGACCCATGGATGCTAAATATAGGAGACCCAGAAAAGACGCACTTTTAACACGGACAAAGACGCCGTAGCTGTTGTTCCCCACGGAAGTCCTAACGGAACAGACGTAGACGGCGCGGTCGGCAGCTGCGAGAACAGAGAAGGCGAGGGTATCGTGATGGCTTTGCGCAGAGAGGAGATGCACACGCCCTTCGGGATCGTAGGTGGGCGAGGCAGCTAGCCGACCGGTCGAAGGGTCCTCCACCCACAGGGGCTGGCTGTTGCGCCGCCACGTGATATCACCGGCCTGGGCCCTCGGGTAGGCGATTATTTCGCAGGTCAGGTTGTACGCGTCGCCCTCGTACACCGTCTCCGCGGTCGGCCGTACCACCAGCACAGGCGTTACTGTGGCAACAGAAAGGCGAGAGGTCGACTTAGCAGATTCACTGCCAATGCCATATATGCGTAACCCAACTACTTTCATATCCGATTCCGGAGTCAATAATATATGCCACGCATTTCCTGTCATTTCATGGCAACTGGTTGGGCCAGATCGTGTAGCAAACAGTGGCTAATTTTAAGAGAAAATAGCTCAATGACATTCGTGGTGTGAGGATAGTAGTTTTCTAGTTTTCAAGCAGTGCTTAAATCGGTCGAAACTATAAATGACAGTTAGTCATTATGCAATAATAATACACTTGAATTACGGTGGCCGATTCACCTCCACGAATCTAGTGGTGAACGTGTTAATGATGGACAGCAGAAGCTTCTACCCACATACCTCTTTGGGTGATAAAAATATCATACCAAAGAGCAGAACTGCTACATGAAGGAGAAGGCCGTCACTGGACAAAACCTTATAGGTAATCCCAACTGAAACCATATAGATTTGCAAAAAATACTACTTAGGAGATGGAAATGTTGCGATATATTGCTATTTTTTCTTGCAAAATGAACAGAGCCAAATGAAAGAACCACTATTATGCAAAATAATAAAGCAAGAATTAACGTTAACACGCCAACTTAAGATAAAGTCCAAAGGGAATAATGTTTATACTAGCAGATGAAAGCTATTCTCGGGGATAAAGTGCTGCGAGACACCATAGTGCATGAATAACAATTTTTCAAACCAATCTCATCAACAAATGATTCACAAATAAAGTTGACAGGCCGATGAAGAACATTTATAGTCTCTTTGATTTCGCAGCCATAATTAAGCAAAATCAAATAAGGTGCACAGAATTTTAAGAATAGGACTTTATGCCTCAAATCCTCCCAAGTAAGTAAAATGCTTTGATAGGAAAGCAATCTTGGTTGGCTTTGAGGACTCATTAGTTAAGACGGGTTGATACTTGACTATAAGAAAAGCTAACGAGGGATAAAGATTGCAAAATCACGTTCATTATTTTGCTTTTCAATGCGCGAAATGGTGAAGTTTATTTGCATAAGGCTATCTGCCTATAAAATGCATCAGCAAGTGTTGGAGCACTTGCCAAAAGGCGTTTTTGACTGGTAGTTTTGAAGGAAATAAGATGGTAATGATGCTGGGAACCAGGCTCTCTGCAACTTATTAGTTATTTTTATATAAGCAAATATTTATACTTACTTCTAAAATACACCTTCTGCTTTACAGACGATCCTGGTAATATGTTGAATGAGCATTCATATGGACCAAAGAGTTCTTGGTGGATGGAAGTTGCTACAAAAAGTGAAATAGGGGGTAACTAACAATAATATATTCAAGTTGAGGAATACTGCAACTCATTTACAAAAACAAATTTGTTTAATTGTAATGAAAAGATCAGATGAAAGTACACTGAAAAGGTGAAAATGACAGTCAAGCAACAACGCAAAAAATCACAGCAGATATATTTGTTTCCGCAGCCAGTGGATATTCATAAAAAATAAAATCAAGGCTGAATCATTGACCGTTGATTCGTAAGGCCAATACGTAAGAGAATTGTGTTATTCCGATCATCGTAGGGCCAAGTCAAACAATAATACTGTTACCCTAGATTAGCATTAATGAAAAACACAATCCAATCATCGTGAATCATTGAAAGAATCGAAAATGAGAATGTAATTAAAGCAAAAATATAGAAAACCCAACTGTTTTTAATGTTTAAGAAAAACCAATTTATTAGACAGGAACTCAGTTGAAACTTTTCTAGCGCTAAAAATTTAGTGAATAAAGTTCAGCTTCCAGTAAGCATCTAGGATAAAACACAATCCCTCAAAACAAAGTGGAAAAAAGCAAAAAGCCAATAAAAAAGAGGACTTGCAAGTGACTCGCATTGTGAGATTGCTATAGATCACACCAGTGACCGCATTCTTTGACTCAGTTACACGGAACATGTCGCGATAATGCTTAAGACCTTCTCCATACCATCTTACAGTTGCGTAATTCACCCCATTTTGTCCCACTTGGAATTTGCAGAAGGCGGTGGGGTGGTGACTGAGATCAGGAACATTATGGGTAATTGAGATTTGATAAAAATCCTTGGTGACAGGGATAGACTTAATATCTGTTCCACCAGAATCAACGACTGAAAGTCACGTTATAAAAATCGACCTCTTACTTCCATACACATGGAGATTGACACGAGCACTATGTATGGAGGTTTCACACTGATAAATACCAGCTTTATCAAACGATGTTTCAGTAAACGTTATTTTGCTTTCACCATCTTTCCTATCAATCACAACGAGTTTCGATTGTTGGACTTCAGAATAATTCTGAGAGCTAAAACTAGCTTTTTTCCAAAAAAAGTCACTCTTTTTGACACCATGCGCACGGCAAATGAAAGAAACTGATGCTGCGATAGGAATCGCAATATCTGGGACATATTTCTCATTTCCATCCATGTCAAGTACCGTTATGCGTGGGCCATAGGCTAAAGAAATCAAAAATAGAAGAAAAACCCACCATCGTACACGGGTGCCCACAAAAAGAAACAGGCAAGCAGCAAACTGCTAGCCCTTGGCATCTTAAATCCGTGCTAATAGTAATGGATAGGGTCACAGCTACGGTTTGATCACATCAATTAACTTAAACGTAATTGCTCATACAATAAATTAACCTTTAGGCCTCCATAAAAGTAGCATCTTATCTGATGCAATTTACCACTCCACAATAAGGCAATCAAAACGGAATTTTATTCGGGCCAAAATATTTTGTAATTCGCGTCAAAATAGATTGCAAAAAGGAAAAGTTACTAAAAACACATTCTAGAAACAGAACACAAAAAAGCAACACATCAGTTCCGATGGATTTGCAAGTAGTATTAGGTAGCGGTTTTGCGCAGCCTGCTTACATTACTCACGTTGCGTAACAAGCCCCAATGATAAAAATTGCTTACGCGATTTTTAACTTTCAATATTTAAACTAGTTCTATGCAGCTGCAAAAATCTGCCAGTAGCAAATGCAGCTTCATTACAGATAATTCGAAATGGCTGCTTTAAATGACTTATTCACCATGCTGCCGGTTCAAATTTGCCCGGGTTTAACTTGTGGTTAGCTTTTGGGGTGGGTGACCTGCTATTGTAATCCTTGTGATCTCTAGCCCACATTGTTTGTCCTTTTTTATTTTCCAAACGAAAACGTGGTACTTGATGGGTGCTTTTTAAGATATCGAGCACTTAGCATTTCATGCTAGGTAGCTACGCTTCATTTAGTAGACGTTAGATTGTTAATTGGAGGAGCTTATTATTCATTACTTCGTAAGTGGTCATTTTGTAGCATACACTTTCTAAAAGTTGCGCGCTTTTGTTTTGTGCGTACAGTTTACTAACCTGTAAATATTTGATTGTGTATAGGTTTTTCTACCTATCTAATGCGTACCCAAAAGCCCTATACGTGGTAATCGCATCAAGTAATTGTGGGATAACGCTTACCGAAAGGGGCATTTATTTATCTTGCATGTACTCTATTTTGCGCTAAAGCGTGAGACCTTTTATGACCCCATAGCCTTGGTATCTTTCGTTTACATTAGTTGTGTTGTGATAGTGCCTGAAAGCTATTATTTTATTCCATTTTGATGCTTTTTTGGAAAATTCCAAACTTGGCAGTTCTTGACCACTATTTTCCTCCCTATCACCTTCCTGCAGATGTACGCTACTACCCGTGGCGGTTTTAAGCAATTGCTGCATCCCTACTATGTTGTAAATATTTGCTTGAGCCTACTTTACGTTTTAACGAAGAAACTACCCTTCACCTGCGAACTACTTTACGACCAGTGTGAAATTGATCTCCAGGAATATGAACTCCTCATTTTCCTCGCTGCCTTTATAACGATGCGCAATAAGAGACAGTTTTCAGTTCCCGATTATGTGGCTCACTTTTGCATGTTTGCTAAGCTCTGCAACCTCTTAATGTTTTGGCGTCACAGCCTTACCTACGCGACCGTTTATGGGGTACTATGGCTCTTCCAGGCATATTTTCTGTTCCAACCTGTCTACACCGGTCCCGAATCGGTCTACTACTTTCACGAGTCCAACTTTGCCGAGGTAAGTTGCCTTTTTAATTAAATGATGATATATGAACGTAATTTATTATTTCATTATTTCCTATTCAGGTGATAGAACGTGGCGACCCCCGAGTGACGTGGATCATTGCTTTCTACACAGTCTGGTCGCCAGGATGCATCGCGCTGGCCCCGATCTTCTCGGAGCTCTCGCATGCCTATTCGGGCTACACAGGCCTGCGCTTTGGCAAGGTGGATGTGGCGCGGTGTTCCGCCCTCGCTCGCCAAGTAGGTGTGGACGCAACCACGTGGTCCAAACAGCTGCCCACCATCATCGTCTTCCGCGGTGGTCGTGAGGTTGATCGTCGACCGGGTCTCAGCTCCAAGACGAAGAAGGTGGTGAAATTTACTTTTACTTGGGAGAACATCATCGCCGCTTTCTCGCTCAACGACCTCTATGCACAGTGCAAGCAGCACGATGCACAGATCAGGCGCTCCAAGGAGGGCATGGAGAAAGCAAAGGCGGTGACGGATAGTAGAAAGGAGAAATGAGGCGATCTCTCCCCTCCCCCCTCTTCTTCACCGCTTTTAGCCGTTGCGAATGGACATCGAGTTCTCAATCGTCCAACCCTACCTATCATGCCGCTGTGCGTTAGAATGTATTACTATAAATGCATCATTTGCATAGTTACTGGACCCATATCTTAATTCTCAAGGTACCGAATCTTCGGTTTACGAAGCACTGTCGTTCGTGGACCTCACTTTCTTTTCATTACAAGGCATCGATTGATAGTGCTTCATCAATCTTGGTTTTTAATGTAAACAAACACGCGTTACGAATGCGTTGTTAGCGCTTTCAACCTCTCGCTGGTTAATTTCGTCGGTCCGCCTATAGGTGGCATGACCAGTCATTACTCGACTTCTGTTGGAGGCTAATGAAGGAAACCGGCAAGGTTTCTGGCTAAGTACTATTAATCTTGCCGTTCCAAAGGATTCTTGTTTGACATGCTTGCGGACTTATGAATGGACTGCCGAACTCCCACTTCTTCATCTGCCTTCATAATGGCAATACGTCGACACTTGTTAATGAATGTCAACTTCAAAGTCTGAAAATCCCAGTTCTATAATGGGGTCCAAGTGATGGCTTGAAAAAGTCGAATAAGGCTTACGTGTGGTGACTATTATGTCGATTATGGCTAGAACTGGAATCGAGCTTCCCGGTAGACTGTGGAACACTCATAGATCGGTTTTATAGGTCGTGCTGGTGCATGGCTCGTACTTAAATAAAATGGACAGAAGGGACACTGGATAGTTCCAAAACCAGCTTCGAGGTGCAGAGTCAACCGACCCAGTGAAAATCATGCAACAGACGGGAGGGGGAACCCGATTTTTATCTCAGGCGCAGTTTGTGCGGTTAATAAAACCAAAAGTGGAAAAAAGTAAAAAGGTTTTATTTCAGGCATCAACAAATATCACAATACATACAATGAGGTCCTTATTAGCGGGACAAGCTTGACTCAAACCGCGCAAGGCTCTTTCTTATTGTCACGCTAAGGATGGAATTAAGGACGCGGGTTGTACGATGCTGGCAGTGATCGGATAGTTTAAATGTAAATGACAAGAGATAGGTTTAATAAAAAATGCGTACCAAAAATAGGCAATATAGTCAATTTGTAGGTACTAAAATATGGTCGTGGAGTAATGAGAATTTTGATTGTTAAATCCAAGAGGGTTTTAAATAAGTGAAGAACTGAAACAAAAGTAGGTAAAGGATACAGCAAAGCCTGCAACTGGGGAACTTTTGCCATGGCCTTGGTAAGCTCTTCACATTTCGCCATCATAGCGTACATTGACTGAAATAGATGGATTTTTTTTCAGTCGAATGATGTACTGAAAATTCAAAGCATAGTATATATTCAAGTGCTAATTTAAAATGTCCATATGACGATGCTAAAACCGGAGAATTATTTTCCTGTTAGCTCAAAACGCTAAAGGATAAAGGTGTGCAAAGTAGTCAATACATTGGCAACGTACTACTAGGCTCAACTCAGTAATGCACAGTGAAGTACACGCCTGGACAATTAGCTGAAAATAAAATAATGCCGACAAGAGCATTATGCACGGGATCCTTAATGGGAAAAACACGAATATGTAGTGCGAATGAGCAAGTCGTTGGGTATTTCCCTTCGATAGGAAGTGAAAAAGTACTTGTACCACCGAAAATCCGATAAGCTAGGTTTACGTAGGTTCTTCAGATAATTCTTATTTCTTATTAAAACCGGGAAGTTGAAAAATAATGTTGTGTCACATTCGCTTGCCTTAATGTTGGCATCCATTTCATCACAGGTTTGTAGGACAAGAGAGCTATAAAGATCGAGACAGCCGGCAGTCAAAGTGGATATCTGGAAATATGTGGATAATGAAGTCATAAATAGATTTAATGTGGCAAAATATCACATTTAAAAAGACGGTTTAGTGTAGGAATCTTAACCCATCAAGGAAATCAGTTATAAATATAGTTTTAGCAAGTTTCGATTTTGCATTAAGATCACCATAAAACAACTTAGAGATATTCACAAGGAATTGTCAACCAATATCGTTGTAAGCGTATTGATGTCAAGTTGAAGCAGAAAATTTGTCAGTCTTCTAGGGAACTAAAGTAGCTACTTCAGAAAATAACATGAAGCCCGAGAAGGTCGCTTCGTACCAAACGTAAGTATCCCATTTTACCATCATAAGAACGAATAAAGGAGTGATATAAGTGCAGTCGAAGCGTAAATTTACACATGAAAAATCCTAACGTCGATAAATAGGCTTTGCTTAATCCGTAACATATGAAAACGCACCCTCTGAAGACCTGACTGCAAATTGGTCAGCAACAACGTTACCTCAGTATCAAGCTGCCTTGCACAGGCCTCAATTTCGCTGATAGTATCAAGTTTTGCAGTGACACTGGGAGACAATAATCAAAGAGATGCAAAAAATTACCTGGAAGAAATGGCGGGATCAGAAGAACCGGAGCTCCCCTCCATGTCTGAGAAGTCCCAAAGCCTAAAGTTATACAAAAACGAAAAATTATAGCCAAGGTTTTGTAAAAAAATATGACTTCAAGCCTAAAACCTATCAGATTAAAAAAAAAGCCTCAAGACCTGCTTAGCAAAACAAGCTACCTTGGTTTTTTAACCCAAGCTAGGGGTTCTAACTCTCCGTGCTGTAAAATGTACATAATTTGAGTTTAAAGATGAAGTGCAAATGAGGATCCATGCAAGAAACTCGTGGCGTAATTTGAACAAGAGATATAGAGTGGATAAACATAGGCGCAAAATAAGCAACCGAATCACACTTTTCAAATACGCAAAGAGCAAAGGTCAGCATAGTCCCACTTAAGCACTTGATAGTTGACATAATGGGATAAGAGCTTTCCCATTTGGCACGTTAGGATGTGAAACAGGTATCACAGTGCAACCTGATGGGACATTCAGGTGGCACTGCACCACGAACTTGCTGCTATCATCAAAACTAAATGGATTTGATTTATAGACCTAGATAACTAAAAGCACGTCGACTGGGTACAGTAGATGCCAAAGGGTGTAAGCTTTCAATTTACTTACAACACATACGATGCACAGTTGCTCACGCACCAAATAGGTGAAGAAACCAAACAGCAGTGTCGTAGGGAGAAAAAATTCACGAAAGACTTTTATGGCGGTCAAACTTAGTGAAAATGACACCGATGCGTTATTTTAATAGCTGTTAAAGTTGAAGATATGCGAGAAACTTCCATGCTAATTCCAATTATTGAAATTAGACAAAACGTCCGAAAGATTCCTTAGAAACTTAGTAATTACACCTAATAAATGTTTTGTGTTTTCTAAGCTATGGGGATACTGGCACCATTAAAATTGACCGAAATTTGTGCCAGCGGCCTGGTTTTGGAACAAATTTAGCGGCCGCTTCTTTGACTTTATTTTAGGGTCCCTGTTTTGTTAGATCTTCATAATTCAGCCCACTTTGGTAATACGCAAACTTCTAACATTAGATCCCAAAACATACACTATTTAAATTGTGTTTTTATCAGGTTTTAATGATTTTTTAGCACAACAGGGTATTCCTTCTAAAAAAGGTAAAAGGTTTTGCAACCTTGCAGTTGTTTGAATCAATCGATTTTATTTGTCAATTGTGGCACTAATACGAAATTGGACAAGTTTGCCAGACTCCTTAGGGTCTGTCTGTGAGACTAAAGTATGTTAGGCTTAGACCTGTTTGTTGTTTTAAGCGCACTGTGTTTTAATGACCTAACATACTGTTTGCTAGCACTGGAACAACTTTGGGTTTTTTTTGGACACACATACCAATTAACCAGCTTGTCAAAGGCTTAAATAAAAATCGCGTTGATTGTTCCGATCTATATAATTAAATTTGGCACTAAGCGCTATATGTTTTGTCCTTTTGCTTTATCTAAGCTAAACTTTTTAGGTCATTGCAATGTTATTCATTTAAATGCAACTTTGTATTCATCAATTAAAAACTTTGCTTTTAGTGGTAGGACGTTTTTGACATTGTTTTTGTTAACTTTAAAAGACAAGATGACGTTAAAGCCACATTTAGACTCCAATCTTGCTTCCGAATTTTGCATTTTTATTAATTATTGATGTATGGGTAAATATTTGTGGGACAAGTATTTTTCCTTTTTGCCATTTGTTTAAAGTATGGTCTAGATACATGTTTTTAAGTGTCTTAAGTAAGTTGCTGTGTAATTTATCGCCGTAGAGTACCATTTTTGGCTGTAGCTGATACAGACTGCTTTTTAATTTTTTCGGTTTTTTGTCCCTTTAGTTTACTCGTAAAGCTAGTTAAGTGATCTTTTGATAAAATTGAATTGATGTTGGTCCTGCTGGTTTGACTTTAAAGTCACTGATTTACAGTGAAATTCCATTTTATAGTGTTATTTTATACTGTTTCTTTTTAAACCTACTCTGTCTTTTATAAGTTTCATTTGTATAAGAATCTTCCGCACAACCATACTGCAAATCCACATTAATCATCGACGAATAAATGCATCTTTCCCTTTATGATGTAAAGGTTAAAGGGTTTCCTGCTACACACTCAAAAATACACTGTTATTATTCAATGTAAAAGTATTTGTCATTGCTCCCAAAATTCCCTGCAGCTTTGTTTAGATGAATTTTTATTGATATTGGTTAAAATGAACTTTAAGTAGTGTTTCTGTCATAGGGAGAAATGTGGTAAAACAATGGATCTGTGGTAAAGGACTTTTCTGTACCTAAAAGTTTGGACCGCTTTAAGCCTTCTAAGTGCATTTTCCAGAATCGTCATCAGCAACAGCAAAACTTATTATTTTTTGTGGGGTATTAACTTATTTTTTTAATGATGTTATTAAGAAAACAAGAAAAAATATTCGTCATTGAAAATACTCTATTTAAGAAGCTTCTGATATTTGATATCAGATGAGCTTAGTTTGACTTTAATAAAATTGCTTTTGATATTTATGCTAGTTATTATTATTACTATTTCCCCTCATAACGGAACACCTTGACTGCGTAAATTTTCACTGCCAACCTTGTGCTTGAGTTGGCACAAAATTCGTTTAAATTAAATTCTAAAATCTATATCCTTTGTGTGTTTTCCTCTCATCGATTTCTTCTTAAGGTTTGGTTTAGATGCAACACGCCTCGTTGGCCGCGATAGGCCGAAGAGCGACGATAGAGACGCAGGACAGCCTCTCTGATTCTTTTGAAGGGCACAGCTCCAAGGAGACTTCTTCTCGATCCCCAGAGCGTTTGTCTTGCGGGTCAGGGGCCGCATCACCTCTGCCCTCACAGCCACCTCGAGTGCTGCGTCTAGACGAAGTGCTGGAGCACCTCCGGGCAGTAGATCACCAGCTTCGTGCTCTTCATGTCTCCAGGTACCCAATATTAACTCCTCCGCTCGCAACCTCCTGTGGACAAGAGGTAGGTCACAGTTTCAAACACAGATGAAATGGGAAGTGGTCATTTAGTTTGGCTAGCTATCTTGATATTTTACTTACAGGTTTTTTAAGTTCCACCATAAATATGGCCATTATCTTACCAGAATCCTCAGTTTTCGCTGTAAAATCGTTATGGATTTAACCAAAACACTTACTGAAATAAACCTATTACAGATGCAAAATTAGTTTTTTTCCCAAAAACAAAATAAGTACTTTCTCCTTGACCTTATAGATAAATGCACAATGTGCGACTCAAAAACAGAGTAGTGAGTACAAGCCCAAGTGGTCTAATTGTAAAACTAGTTAATGAAGACGTTTTTACCTTATAAGGGGTGATTACGGCTTCTCTTCAAGGTGGTGACCAAATAGGCCAATTCTGCTGCAGAAAGTTGACTTTCTAGTGAATAATACGTAAGGGCGCCTCACTTTTAAGCATCGCAGCTCAAACATCTGTGTTCTTAGAAGCTTCATCATCTGAAGTCGTTAGTCTAGAACCCTTAGTGGAGTAAGACTTGGTAGATGCAAATGAAGTGACCTCGATTTCAGTGTGACATTGCCACCTAAAATACGTCAGTTACATGAGTTGAGCAATGCTTCAAAATGTAAGCACACTGATTCTCATTCCTTCGTTTTAATCCAAGAGGGGAAAGCAGAGAAAAGTATTGTCGGTGTAGGGAGCTTTACAATAAAAAAATTCAACCTTCTAATTTTTTTTAACAAAACACATCCATTTCATGATTAAATTTCGTTTAGGTGCTTACGATTTTGCGTTTGGTATCTTCATTTTTTTTCGCTAATTCTTTAAGATGCTCAACAACTCACCAAAATGATCTTATTTTAGCCTTAGGCTTTCTGTTTTTGTACAAAGCACTGTGCTTATATTTTTAATCATTAATAAGGAATGCTCGATGTGGATTCCGCCCCAAGGGGATGAGCGAACAAGAAAATAGGTAGCTTCTTGCTGTCTGAGAATGGCAACAATGAATGAGAGAGATTGCAATATTTATTTCCCAATCACATTTTTCCTCACCAAACGTTGATAGTCGACTATCACAAATTAATCATGAGTTTTATGGAATTCAATCTTTTGATCGTTGTGTGAAACGTCAGGGGTGTATCGAAATCCTCTTACACTTCATACTAATAAAACTCCTTTTGCAGAATAACTTTAAAATGCAACTAGATGTAAAAATTAAATTCGTTTAGTCGATTTAATGAGCAACGGCAAATATACAGTGGATCTATCATGGGTAAACCTCTCAGTATTTGGTATGTGGATCCCTCAGCTTTCGTTTCCCACAAAGCGATATCCAGGAAAAAACGGGTGTACCGGCTTCTGTAGTTATAAAACCGCTTTTAAAAGCCAGTATTCAACTTTTAATTGAAAGTAATTGTTTTCCTTCATAATTATTGCCTTAGTTTATGATGTTCGCCATCACGTTCATTATGTTTACTCCGAAGATATGACTATTTTTTCTGCACCCGAAATATCTCAGAAATGATTATCTAGAATTGGCAATATGAAAATCTCAACTGTATTGGTTCCTTCCACATCGCGTAGACTTTTATTCAAGAACAATAAACTACGGGTTTTATAAAAAAACACACAAACAACTTCAACTTTTACGACGTTGTTGCATCGTAGTTGATTGCTCTAGCCATGTACTTCCTGCCTCCCTTAATGCATTTCAAAGTATCTTTTAGAAAACATTTTGCTTTAAATGACTTAATTTTAACAAATGCAACTAGCAAAGTTAACTTTGTTTAAATTTCATCTTAAGTATGCTAACTGTAGCACCCCAAGTCTTTCCTAAAGCCGAAAGTAGGCAATAATAGTAGGAAAGAATGTGCATTGTTGTCGTACAGAGTTGCTACTGGCACGGAAGTACAGAATCAAAGTCTTTAATTTCCGTAAAACTAAACTGAAGAGTTGAACAAACAATCAAAGTATTATGCACTCTCTTCTTTTGAGCGTCGTCCCCTTTATCAACCTCCCGAGTCAGCCATCACAACGATGATGGTGTAGTAGGGAAAACACTCACGAACTAACCGCGCCTGTCATCAAACATGCGTGGAAATAAGATTGTTCTTACCCGCAAAATCACTGATCCCTCTTAAGAATTCTACTGGATTTTTAAAAATGGCGTAGGAGAAGGTGGAATATGCAGGCTATCACGTATGTACATCGCTAGTCGTAGAAACACTGGCGCACCCGCTGAGTTCATGCGGCTCCCAGTTCTGCTAGTATAAATGGCTTCACCACATTTTTTTGAAAGTAGGACCACTTTATAGGTTCTCTTGTTTAAAATAAAAGCAGATATTTTGATTGGGTAAGAAAATTTCAGTAGTTAATTTTACACCATTTTGCACGCTTTTATGATTGAGCTCAATTTTACAATTTTAGCCGCTGTTAATGCCAGAACAAAGCGGGTTGCATATTTTAAGCCAATGCTTAAGCTCTTTTCCAGTTTCAAAGGGCTAGCCTTATAATATTTAGCTAAATAGATGAATGTTGCACTAGCCACTCCCGAATTCTTAGAAAAGAGATTCACGGTGGATAGATCTAAAACAGTGTCACCCTTCGGAGAATGAAGCTTGGGGCACCTTTTGGAGGTATTTCAAACAGTTTTGCCTGTACCACTCTACGTAAGGTTTTGATGTGACGGGGCCATGGTTAGCTAAGCGGCCTAATTTGGCAAATTATTCAGGGAATTAGTAGGTATACTCTGCTGTATGCAAAAGGCTAAGTGATTTTAAAAGCAAACAACTTTCACTACCTTCTGCTCAGTTTTACACTCCTAAAAAGGGTGTTCTTGGAAGCATGTCATGAATTTTCTGCCAGTCAAGAGTATTTTTTTATCTCTTGAGACAATAACGAGCATCACTTTGAAGCGACCCAGAGACAAATGCATCAATTTTATTTAGACGCTTGATAGTTTTTTATCGTTATTTTCTGTTGTTTCTGCTATCAATGCACACATTTTAAGCATTTATTTCGCCTTGGGGAAAACACTGCTTCGAGGAACTTCTCAATTGCTTGGATATCAGCGCTTTGAGTGTATTGTTAGCCTATTCATCTACCCAGCCTATCCCTGCTAGATGTGAAAATGGAGCCACCCTCTCAAAAAATCCGTCGAAACCGTAAAGGTTATTTAAACGATGGCATATATCTTTTCTCTAGTAGACGTATTCCCACCATCAGTCATCAGAGACCTAAAATGTATACCGTAATTCACTTTCGGAAAGCCTCAGAACGTTACAGACTGTCGAAATAACAAAGTGTGTGAAAGGATCCATCTGTAGTTACTAGGAGGGTGAAAGTAAACCTCGCCTCAGGACAGAATTCACGCACACTGATCTACTTTGCCTCTTGACATCATAACAACCTTGAAGTGACTATAACCTTGGGGCCTCTTCTCCTAATAGGGTTTGCATTTGTTCAAAAGGAGTAGTGAAAGCATCCCAATGCATCGTTGTGTGTACAATTGCATGGATAAAACAGCGACCTCTTGCATTATGCTTAACAAGCGCAATAGTACACGCGATCCTAGTGTTGGTATTTGGATTGCAACTAAACGCGCTGATTAACACAAATCGTTCAGGTTCCTCAAAATTACAAGCAGAAAAGCAAATTTCAGTTGAAAAAAGCTCCAATAAAGTCGTTGGAAGCATAAACATTCACAGTGATGCTCATTCACAAATAAATGCTCCACGTTAAATTTATCACAATAATTATTCAGCTGCCTTTTTACCAAAGTATTGCCAATAGCACCGATAGAATAAATCTGTGGTGGTCTCTTGTATTTACAGCTTTGAAGAAACGATCTCTGTGGATGTGACTCTCAACTATTTGAGGTGCTGTCCTATTACTACTGTCATTAAAAAATGGACTTCATTCGTAATCTTTTAGCACCTTACCATACGCCACTCATAAAATGGCGTGGCCTTTAAGCAAATAACAGTTTGATTTTGTGCCTGTTCAGTTGCCATAAATGGTCCAGACAGACGTTTATTATACCATTAAAGTAGAGTACACGCTAGAATTTCCGATCATGTGACCAATGAAAAGAGCTTTGAGGCTTGATTTCACATTTGGCTTACGTACAAGTAGTTTTGAACTTACAACTGTGAGTTCACAGAACGGCTGCTGAAATTAAATTAAATTATGGCAAAGAGGAAATTCAAGAGGGTACAGAAGCGATTAAAGACCCTCACAGTAATGTGATCACTTAAACGATGTCTGGGCACTCCATTAACAGTGATGTAAAAAACAGTGTTCATTGAAATATTCGGGACTTCAGGGACGCATTTGTTATTGCACCATTCTAGACAAGATCTTCCATGGTCAAGAGGCGACACTTTTTAAGTCTAGGTGTGCCTTTTAACAGGTGGACAAGTTTCTTGTCTTTTTCCATCGAGCATCAGTTTCGGAAACATTTTTGCCTCTCATAGGACATTAGTATTCTTTTTCAAGGAATAAGCGATATGGAGAAATCCTATTTAGACAGAAACAGAGCCGCTAGTTTGGGTGAAGAATGCTAAGCTTTAGCTGCGATGAAAGTCGCACTTAAGACAATTTCTCAGTTAGAGCAGTAGAAAAAACAGGTACGGTTGCTTGCGATTTGTCGAATACTTTTTGTCGTAAAGTCGAACAAGAGAAATGTTTGCTAAACGAGTAGGCTGTTTAGGCCGATTTTCAAATTTCCAATTCTTTATCCAAATTCGGTTTTGTGCCAATAGCCGATGAAACAAGCGCTTTATCATGAAGGCAATGATGAAAAAGGAGCTGAACGGAGGATTTTATTTTAATTTATGCTGTTTTTAGTGTGTATTTTACTTAATGTACCGTTCTGTTTGAAATATGTGGCAAGTAGACAATTGAATTCTATTTAACCATGATTAAGTCATTTTTATTTTGTGGTCAATTGAAATGTGATGGAAGAATTGGTACACAAGTGTCACATTTGATCTAGTCCTTCTGAAATATCGTTTTTCGTCGTGAATTTCGGTCGCAATTTATTATAAATTAATGCCTTAGAGCTGACACAACTCAATTGGGAATAAGCTCAAT